GGTAACTCCCATGCACTCAGATCACCAGGACAAAAGAGATGGCTCTTTTTAACAGAGTTATTTTCCTTCTTTTTGTGTGAGAATGTGGAGAATAAACACCCCCAGCCCAAGACTGCAGAGCTCCCATTTTCCTCATCAGGTAAACCAGGGTGGAGCAGCAGTGGAGGGGATGGAGCTGCACCAACCACTCATTACCAGATGGGATCCAAAATCATTTAACAGTGAAATCAGGATAGAAGCCAGCTGCAATTTCTTTTGTCACAACAAACTCAGGTCAAACAGAAAGTAGTTGCAATTAATATCTGATCCATTTTTGATCAGACTCTGACGCACTCACAGTCCCACCCCACCCTGGTGCTCTGTGGTGGATAATCTGCATCCCAGACCCCAAATCTGAGCCTGCATGGGACACTTCCCTCAAAAACAATACCCTGCTTCTCAGCCTGATGACTTCTGTTCCCTCAAGGAAAAGTAAAAATTAAATATTAAGTCTGTAGTCACTTCCCTGCCATGCAGTGTAATATTATTGAATTTATGGCTCAAACACTTTCTGCTTTCATTTATAACCCTACATTGTGGGGTTTATATTAATTTGATTGTTTAAAAAAGCCATTCTGGACTGGAAAATCCCTAAAGCAGCTTTTTCTTCCAATTTTTGTTTTAAAGAGAACTTGTTTTTTTTGGAGATGGGAACAATTTGCACGCACAACATGATACCACTCTCAGAATCATGATTTAGAATGGGATTTTGAGGATTTCCTACCTCAAGTTGGAAAGAAATACCTGATAATGTATTTCTATACATGATACATTTCTATATTTTTCTATATTATTTCTACATTTTCTATACATTATGCATTTCAAATATTTCTATGTATTTCTAACACTCTCCTGTCACCTTTTACTAAACTCCTGAGGTGAGTAAATATAATGACATTTAGGAATTGTCATAGGAAGAAATCAGTGAAACTATTAACAGAACATTAATTTTTCCTATGAAGACAGACACACTCTTCTTCCCACAGCGGAAGGGCAAGCCCAGTTTTTGCCATTTCCCTGTATTTTGTATTTCTCTGAATTTTAGCTGTCAGAGTGCAGTGGGTCACTCTCTGCTCCTTGGCTGAGGAAGAGAAGCACTGTGGTCCCATGTAGAACCTTCCAGAGCCACCCTTTGACACATCCCAGTGCATTTCTATGCTGTAAAACCTGAGCCATGCATGTTCATATCTGAGAGGCGCTGCCTCAGAAAGATGGTGGCTCACCAAGGATGAAATGCTGGGTTTGGACAGTTGCTTTAGGTGATCTTTATTTTAATTTAAAAATTTAAAAATAAAAATAATAAGTAAAATAATTAAAATAAAAATAATAATTAAATAATAATAATTTAATAAAATAATAATAGAATTCTAATACATTTATATAATAAAATAATAAAATATTAATATTTAATAATATTAATAAATAATAAAATAATAATGTATAATAATAATAATAAAATATAATAATGTAGATATTATTGAATATAATAAATAATAATATAGGCTATTTTATAATAATACATATAATATAATATAATAAATATGATATATAATAATAGAAAATAAAATAATAAAATATAAATAATAATATAATAATATAAAAATAATAATATAAATATTGCTAAATATATTAAATAATAATATATTCTGTTTTATAATAAGACATATTAAAAATATAATATAATAAATATAAAAATATAATACTAGAAAATAAAATAATAAAAACATGAATAATAAAATAATAATTAAAATAAAAATAATAATTTAATATTAATCACAAAATAATAATAAAGTAGAAATAAGAAAAAATTAATAAAATGTTTAAATTTTTAATTTAATTAAAATTAAATTAATAATAATTTAATATTAATTAGAAATAATAATAAAGTAGGAATAATAAAAAATTAAATAAAATTTTAACAAGTTTTGTGGATTAGGGCTTTTTAAAACCCCTGTCCACACTTCTAAAAGTCAGACTGTTTCAATGACATCATGCAGATTTGCTTTTTTTGCCCAGGTTTTGGATGCTCACACGTACCAAGCTCCAGCATTTCATCAAGGAGACGTGTCTGCAGGCAATGTGGCAGCTGCTCCCTGGCTCCTGGAGCTGCAAGGCTTTATTTGGGTCATGCAGAGCATCTTTGCTTCCCCTTGAAGCAGGTAAAATGTCTGCTTGCATCTGACAGTGAGAGAGAGCACCAGGAAAGTGGTGAAGCTATTTTAGAAGGGAAATTGTAAATGAAGAGCTTTGCACAGAACATTTCTAATCACCTACAGGCAGTGCTGCTGGAGTGAGGGAAAGCTAAATTCAGCTCTCACTTGGCACCAGTGAAACTCCTCTGATCTAATGTGGGTCACTGCAGCCCAGGCAGGGAGTGCAGCCTCACCACATCCCCATCACAGAAATATCTCTGCACAGGAACTCCCCATGCCCCAAAACCTGGAGTGGGGATCTGTGGCATTCACATTGTCTGGAAAAATCCCTTCACCCAAGATTTCCTCCTGGGAATCTGAGAAGCCTCAAAAAAAAGGAAAACAATTCTTATCTCATTTGCTTCTCCTGTGTTGTGCTCACATGTGGAATGTGTTTGGAGATTGTTTACCCACAGGTGATTGTTCCATTGGTTTCATGTGAATTGTTTTGACTCAATGGCCAGTTGGGGCCAAGCTGTGTCAGGGCTCTGGAAAGAGTCACAAGTTTTTATTAGTATTCTTTTTTCATTATTCTTTTTAGCCTACTGTAAGTACCCATTCTGTATTCTTTAGTATAGTATAGTATAGCATTCTTCAATATAATATGAAGAATGCTATACTATACTATACTAAAGTATAGTATAGTATAGCATTTATAGTATCATAAAATAATAAATTAGCCTTCTAACAACATGGAGTCAGATTCATCATTCCTTCCTTCTCCAAGGCACCCTGCAAATACAATAGGGATTTGTGTTACACCTTTGTGGAGCTAAATCTGCAAGTGCAGTACAGCCCTCAGGCCACTCTCTGTTGATCAAACTGGATTTCAAGGTTTTGTAGGGGATCATCGTGGTGATCACCAGTTCTGGAAATATTCCAACAGGAGAGGGTTTTGCTCTCAAGATTCCATAAAATTAGAAAAATCCCAGTTAGAACTAAATCCAAGTTCTGTCTCACTTATTAGCAATTAGAATTAAACAAAATCAATATTAATAGTTGGCAACTACTAGTGCTTATAACGAATCAATATTACAAACTGGAGGTGTTCAATAGCTCTGAAATGTAGATTACTTACGGGAAAATTTAAAAATACCATCAAAGTTTCTGATCCAGAAAAAACCCTACACTGCAAAATCCCTTTGGTGTGATGGAGTATCCAGAATAGCAGCTTCCCAAATAAAGCTTTGCCAAGCCCTGCTCTCCAGCTTGTGCTGAGTTGTGTGGGTGTCAGCTTGGTGTGCTGGCATCCCAAACAGAACCAGAGCTTGCAGGGCTTTGTGTTGGATTCAACAAAAAGCTACAAACCATAAACAAATTTACATTTCCTTCTGAGGCGCCACAGCAGGGTGAGGTGAACCTGCAAATGAGAGCAGAGCCCAGCCAAAATTGCTGAGTTTGATCCATGACCTCTGTAAATTACTGGTGACACAAAGCCAGGAATTCATGACCAAGGGCAGATGTTTGCTGGAACATCCACTGGGGACTCCCTGGCAAGTTCGGTAGGACAAATCATTTTGCTGAGGGGTTGTGAGTTTTGAGTCCATAAAAAGTGTGACCCAGTTTCCTTTTCCATGACTGAACAATTTGCACAGCTCTAAATATAAAACTGTCGGTAACAGATCTGTGTTTGTGGGATAGGCTGAGGAGCTGCACTGGGCAACTTGTGCTCCCAACCACCCCTCAAAACCTCCCTTAGAAAAGGTGAATCAGGCACAGTTTTTGTCCTTTATCATTCCCTTTTGTCCTTTTCCATTCATTTTTTGTCCTTTTTCATTCCCACGTACAAATGAACATCAAATCCCAGGTTGAAATTATAAATATATTTGTGTTGTTAATAATCATGGCACTACACAGTGAAAATCATGTAATTCCATTTTTTCTTGAAGGAATTGTATTAGAATAAGACAGCATTGATACCGAATAGCCTCTCACTGTCCTGCTTAATTCTGTCTCGGTGTTTTTTTCAGAAGTAATAATCCTATAAACCAGGGGAAGAGGAGAGCATTGAATGAACTGAGACTCTCTCCTGGCTGTGACCCCAGCGTGGAGCACACCCAGAGCAGCCCTGGCAGCCAAGGGGCAACTGCAGAGCTCTGGGGCAGCCCCACCGTGCCAGGACAGATGGACAGGGCTGATCCCAGGGACAGACAGACCGGGCTGATCCCAGGACAGCCCCCGGGACAGACGGACAGGGCAGATTCCCAGGACAGCTGGACAGGGATGATCTCCAGGACAAACGGGCACAGCTGATCGCCAGGACAGACGGACAGGGCTGATTCCAGGACAAATGGACAGGGCAGATCCCAGGACAGCTGGACAGGGCAGATCCACAGGACAAAGGGACAGGGCAGATCCCAGGCACAGCCCCCAGGACAGACAGACAGGGCAGATCCCAGGACAGATGGACAGGCCGGATTCCCAGGACAGCTGGACAGGGCTGATCCCCAGGACAGACAGACTGGGCTGATCCCAGAGACAGCCTCCAGGACAGACAGACAGGGCAGATCCCCAGGACAGATGGACAGAGCTGATCCCAGGGACAGATAGGGTAGATCCACAGGACAAACAGGGCAGATCCCAGGACAGACAGACAAAGCTGATCCCTGGGACAGCCCCCAGGACAGACAGACAGGGCTGATCCCCAGGACAACCGGACAGGGCACAGTCCCAGGGCAGACGGACCAGGGCAGATCCCAGGACAGACAGACAGGGCAGATGCCAGGATAGATGGACAGGGCTGATCCCAGGCACAGCCCCCAGGACAGACAGACAGGGCAGACCCCAGCACACCCCCAGGGCAGAGCTCTCCCCCTGCAGCCCCCAGTCTCCTCAGAGGGATCAGCGTTGCTGTGCTGGTCAGGTCCTGGAGCTGAGGCACGGACAGAGAGACGGACAGACAGACAGACAGACAGACTGTGGTTCTCTGAAGGTTTTCCAGCTGATCCCTGCTGGGGGGATCCCCAGGAGTGCTGATGGACCCTGGCACCCCTGAGCACGCAGGGTGGCTCCCTCCTTCTGAGCAAGGCAGTATTTTGAACAAAGAGTGCTTTTTAAAAGAAATAATAGCATTTGCAGTCATTAAATAAATGCTACTTTTTATCAGCTCTAATTATTTTATAATAGCACAAAGTCCTTAGCTTGCTTATCACTATTGTTCATTACTTCAAGCCCTCACAGCTACTCTAGATAACAATTTAAATACACAGAGCTTTAAAAAAATATTTCCATTTCAAATGTTTTAAAAATATACTTATCCTAAAAAGCTGTCCAGCACTATTCCAAAAATCTCTTGTAATAAATGTCTTTTTAAATGTTAACAAAAATATCTACCATCATATAGAAGAGCTCAAGTTTTGACAAATCTATAATACAGTCAGAAATATGTTGGGCCAGATTTCACTTTTGTTTATAGAGTTGCCAATTTGGATCATGGTGTTCATCTCATTTGGGTTATTCCAGTATAACCAGGAGCAGAATATAGCCCTTAGTGCTTTAAAATAGCTAAATGGACTGGATGCTGCAACAGCTACTGGGGAGGGAAATCCTTTACTTCACTGCATCTAAAAATGCAAGAGAATGTTAAATTTAGGATTTGTGCCATGACCGAAGAAGTGCCAGGCATCTGCAGTGGATGACTCAAATCCACAATCATATTCACTTACAGAAATAATTTACTTTTTTTTGCTGAATGGTGCCTGCAATTGCTGTCATTAAATGGAGGATGAATGTTTCTGGAGAACTTTTGTAGGGGGAAAATGCCAACCTTCCTGTCGTGCTTTCTACAATTCTAGGAATCATTTTAATTGCATTTTGTGGGAGGTTTAATAGAATCTCCCAGTATTAGATCTAGAAAGGATACTATTTTGAATTGCTTCTGTATTTTCAACCTGAGCCAGGTCCATTCATGCAGTCATTTCCAAGGTGTATCTAGAACAAGCTTCAAGCACTGATGAAAATCTGCATTTCAACAGGACAATCTGGAAACTCATCTTTTAAAATATTGGAACTTTTTTTTTTTTTTTTGGCTTTTCCCCCCTCTTTTCCTTCAATCTTCAAGCTTAAATGCAGTGTTTGGTTAAGGACCATGGAAACCAGCCTGGTGTGATTGCAGCACATGTGCAAGAGGAGGTGACAGTCCCAGGTCTGCCATTCCTGCCTGTGACCAGCAGAAGAGATCCTTACACATTGTGAGTTTAAATCATGTTTAAAGCTTTCACTCTGCTTTTTTAACCTCCTAGACTTTGGCTGATGATCTGGTAACTGATAAACCAAGGAAAATTAAGGATTTTGATTGAGTTCAGTCCTCAGAGTCGTCTTCATCTTCATCATCATCCTTGCTGGGAGCACACCTTTGGAAGCAGTGCACCAGGGTGGCCAGGAAGAAGCTGGAGAGGATGGCAGCAATGGACACAGCCACCCCAGAGAAGATGATGATGAAAAGGTCTGTCAAGGACAAACTGAATTTGCATTCACTGAAGCTGACCTCAGATAACTCATTCAGGAAGATCCTTCTGTTCTCCACGGGCAGGGAGCACTGGATTTCATGGAGACCTGCAAGGAGGAGGAAAGGGAAACAAATCAGCAGAGTATTGATTAATTCTTCTATTCTGGGTCAGAGATTGAATGGCTGGAGAAAAGTTTTAGGGTTAATTCCAGGTTTATGAAATTGTACAATGTTCAGGGGAAAATGGAACAAAACCTGTCACTATCCAAAAGCCATTACACAGCCCCTTTGAGCAGCTCCTGGAAATTAAGTTATTTCATCTGCAGCCTTCCAGGGATCAGGTGTGATTTAAGATCATGATTTGGAGGAATTTAAAAGGTGAATGTTGAACCCTGGATGCATCTAAACCTGGAGAGTGATAGCAATTCCCAGCTACTCCATCTGAACACAAACTCTGCCTCCAAAACAGGGTAAGAAGGAAACTGAAGTTCCTTTCGCACCCTTCTGCATTACTTTTTTTCCATGTAGTTCCAAACTAGAGTTTTGGGGTTGTTTTCCTGGTCAAACAAGAGTTTGTGTTTAATGGATGCTTGTTTGTCTGTGACCTGCCTCCTGCTTTTCTCTCTGGCTGCCCTGAGGCCGTGCAGAGTGACAGATATTGTTCCTCCCTGCATTACTGGAGAGTGCCAAGAGCTGGGCTCTTTGTAGTGAGAGCAAAAACCCCCAGATTTAAGAAGTGATGAGAACACATTTGGGTCCTGGATGGTAAAAGCACACAGGTCACTGCATGTGCCCATCTCCCTCTTCAAGGAGAACATCAGGAGAGGGAATCCAGGGCTGGAATGGAGTGAATTAAGGCAAGACAGCTTTTGTCTCACTGTTAAGGACATGAACATGAAGGGAAATGCACGAATTGTGTGATAATGACACGAGATCTGCTGCTGAGTTACCTGATCCCCTCCTCTCTCCTGATGATTCCAGGGTGCTCTCTCTGGTTTGGGCTCTGCCTTGCTGCATGCACACAGAATGTGGCATTTCCATCCCCAGGTGTGCCACAGAGCCACGATGTCACTTTAAACAAGGGATGGTGACAAAGATTCCCTCTGCAATTGTAATCACAGCTCTCCTGTGGCTGCACAGCTGTGTATGTGTTATTTTACTGCTAAACCTCGGGTTGGTGGTGCTGCCCTGGTTGATTGTCTGGATCCAGCCCAGCCCAGCTGTTGTGTTGATTTGAGAAGGAGTTTTAAGTTAATTCCACTGTGGAACCAATTATCACCCTGACCTACTTGACCTTGTAAAGATGATTATATTAAATTTTGATCCCTAAAAGCCATCCTGTGTCTGTCGTGTTTGCCTAAATTTCCGTGGCTTTCCTCCATTTGTTTTATTTCCCTCTTTCTCCTGCTGCTGTGACTGGGAACATCCTGAGAGCTGCCCAGCAGTGCCAGCACCAGCCTGGCCAGGGCTCAGTGGGTTTTGGTGTTCCTGAGCACTGGCCATGCACAGCAGATGGGCAACAAGCACAACTGTGGCCACATTTCACAGGGCAGGGAGGGAAGGGAATGTTGGTCAGTCCTGTTGGCTGGATGTTTCTCTTTGCTGAATCGTGACACTCTGAAAAACCCAGCACAGCCAAACAGAAGCTTTTCTTTGGACTCCAAAGAGAATTTGGAACAGACTGTTCATTTGGAAAAGCCAACAGTAAGAACAGCAGTTCTGTCTCTGGTGGCACAAGGAATTTCTCCTTCCAAAGATGATGGAGTGGTTGTTGCACCAGAGCTTCCAACTCTTCACCTGAAAACACCATCACTGCAGGTCACACACCTGCTAAAGGTGAGAAATGCACAAACCATTTCATCTGCTTCCTTCATAGACACAGCCCTGGCTTTCCATCATTTACATTTAGGTTGTTCTTGTGACACAAATCCTGAGAACTGATGCTCTGCACCCCACCTGTCCTGCTCCACTGGTGCCACCAACAGATCCATCTCTGTTCTTCCCTTGTGCAGGAAGGGATTCCAGGGCATTAAACCCCCTCTGTATGAACAATGAACCAAAGAATGGTTTCTAGAAGGGGATCAGTGTTAATTATGGGGTGTGGGTTTTTCCTTTGTGTGACTCTGTTGCATCTAGGCTGGCTCAGTCAAACCCCTGTCCCCACACACAACTTCTAGAGGACAGGAGGTGCCATTTAACTTTAGAGCTCTGCTTTCTCGTACTTTTATTTGAATGATATTAATTTTTATAATTTGTTTGTGGGGGTTTCCAGTATGTTTTTTTTTAATATTATTGATTCTGTAGAATTTATTCTTTTTAAAAAAACAGCCAGGATTCTTGTGAAGGGCATCTCAAAGCAGTTTGGTATTTAGTGCTTGGCTGCAGCAAGAGAGCCTTTGATGACAGATATATATATCCACCTCATTGCTCCCACAACATATTCAAGGAGTTGCTTCTTCATACCAAACAAAACTGTAAATGCAATAACAAGTGTGAGTGTGCTATAAATACACAGCCTGGGTTATTTTGGGCAGGGCCATCCCATTATCTGTGATGACTCCAGCTGTCCCAAGGACAATGTCACACACCCTGTATCCTTCTGCTATGCCATCAAAAGATGATGCATTGCTCTGGTGCTGATTATTTGAAATACCAGGCAAGGCAGAGGTGTTGGATTTTACACAGGCCTGTCTCAATTCTGCGAAAATAAAGATGAAAATACAGGTATTTTCATTATATATATATATATATATATATATATATATATATATTTCATAATATATACCCTGAGGAATAGATTGTCTAAGTAACATGGGAAGTGTGAAAATGCTGGAATTCCAGAACCACAATGTTAAAAGGAGAGATGGGTTTTTAAAAATAAGGAAAAAGAAGTGTGTTCATAAAGAAGTGATGCTGGTGGAGTTATTTCAATGAAATTCCCAAATAGGTTTCAGAACAATATGACTTTGAACACCTTATATTAGAGGAGTGCAACTCCACCGAGTCCAGCACTTAAACCCTGCCAATAAATCACAGGCAATTGGGCTGCTGCTAGACCCCAAAAACCACTTTGAATTTGTTTCTCTTCAGGACTATGGCCTGAAATCTTTTCCTGTATAACTGAACCTCCTAGAAAATGGAAGCAGCCCAAAACCAGTCTGCATGCAAATAATGAACAATTTCCTTGTAAATTACTGAAAAGAGACAAATGAGGCTTTAATGCCTCAAAGATATAACTGGACTGGTCTCACCATCTGAAAATCCCCACAAAAACCCAGAGGCCCTGTTTCATCTGAAACAGGGTATTTGCAGCCATGATCCAGCCACGTTTCTCCCAGGTTCTTGTGCTCAGGAGTTTTTAAACCATGGAGTGTCACTGTCACATTTTCTGGAAAAATCCCCTTGCCCAGGATTTCTCTCCTGGGAAGCTGAGAAGCCTCAGAGGAAAAGGAAACCAATATTATCTCATTTGCTTCTCCTGTGTTTTGCTGCTTTGGAATGTGGTTGGAGATTGTTTATCCAACAGGTGAATTGTTTTGACTTATTGGCCAATCACAGTCAGGCTGTGTCAGACTCTGGAGAGAGTCACAAGTTGGTTTTTTTAGTGTATTTTAGCCTTCTGTTTGTATCCTTTCTGTATTCTTTAGTAATAATATAATATAATGTAATATAATATAATATAATATAATATAATATAAATTATAATTAATATAATATATTATCTATAGTATAATATAATTAATATATATACTATAGTATAGTATATATACTAGATATTATTACTAATATATAGTATTAGTACTATAATACTATATATTATACCATATATATAAAATTTATATTATGTTACCTTATATTACATTACATTACATTACATTATATTAATATACAAATAATCTATTATATATTATATATTATATTGTATGTATTATAATATATTATACTATATTATCATAAAATAATAAATCAGCCTTCTGAGAACATGGAGTCAGATTTATCATTTCCTCCCTTTGTTGGGGGACCCTGCAAATACCACATGGAGTGCCTGCTCCTGCCAGGGGTTTTCCCTGGATATATTTCCCTGCTGCCCTACTGCACTGTGAGTTTGGGCTCATTCTCCTCCAGCTAAGGACAAGCATCAAGGGCATCACTTTCTCCAGGTCCACTTGACCCTGTTTTGAAGGACTCCTCATGTCTTTCTGTCTCTGCTTATTTCCAATCCCTATGCTAAATATATTTTTGACTGGAGAACTTCTGGAATTCATTATCATTTCAATGTTATGGTCTGTCTGTTAGCAGGTGGAGATTGCCCAGTTGTAATTTTGGGATGCTGTGTTTAAAAGAAAAAGGAAAAAAAAAAAAAAAAAGAAGAAGCCTCAATTCTTTTGGGGTCTTTTAGAGTTCACAAAAAGGAGGTGCCAGGACAAAGAGCTTCCTACCATTCAGCAATGGACAACAGGGTGAGAAAATGCAAAGGCACACTGGGACATGCACTGGGATGTGTGGAAATACATCCACAGAAGTACCTGAAACCATAAATGTTTGAATGAGCTGCATGCACACATGCTCACTACCATGGATATAAATATAAGAGCACTACAATAGGCTTTTTATTTTAGAGTAAAATTGGTATTTGCCCTTTTGGGCGGAATTTAGCTGTTCCCTCATGTTGCTGAATGTAGTTGACACAGATTTGAAGTGTTTAAATGTGGCATGTTATTTCTTGTGTGGTATTTTGCTCCCAGCTATGGTTTGCCTTAGTGTCCCTAAACACTGTCACAAATGTATTAATAAGCAATGAGGGAGGCATTGCCTCTGAAGTGAGATGAGATTTCATTGCAAATAGCCTTGAGCCATCAGAACAGTAAAGCTTAAAAAACTTGAAGCCTAGATTTAGGTCCCTAAATAAAACTTTTATGGCCGAGTGCCCTAAAGATTTGCAGAACAGCTTCAGCAGTTTTTCTCAATGTCTAAATACAAAATTCAGTGTCAGGTGTTCACATCTGCAAATGCTGTCCTCACTTCTTCAAACTGTGAAACATGGAAACACTCCAAATAACCTTAGGATGGAAGAAACAGAGTGAAAAGCCAGTGGCAGTCAGATCAT